TTCTTGGGTTTGGCTGCTGCCTTCTTGGGTGTCTTCGCCTTCTTGGGCTTGGCTGCAGCCTTCACCTTCTTTGGTGACTTAGCGGCCTTCTTAGCGGCTGTTTTGGGTTTCTTGGCAGCAGCTGGCTTCTTGACTTTCTTGGGGGATTTGGCAGCCTTCTTTGGTTTGGCAGCTGCCTTAGCCTTCTTGGGTTTTTCGTCTTTCTTTGCCTCGCCAAGACGGAATGATCCAGCGGCTCCAGTTCCCTTTGATTGCTTCAGTGCGCCGTTCTTGACTCCATTTTTCAAAGCAGTCTTGATGCGAGCATTGATGGCCACCTGGTTGTCACCAACCTTGTAGTTGGCCAAGATGTATTTCAGAACAGCCTGTCGGGAAGAACCACCCCTCTCCTTCAGGGTTGAAATAGCTTTCTTGATCATCTCCAAATAGGTAGGTTACTTACTTACTTATATTAGGAGATTTTACGTGCGCTTTCCGACTGGAGCGTATTTCGCACACGGGCCAGGCCGGGCCATTTAGTGGTATAAAAGTGGTAGCGAGAGGAGTGCAACCAGTGGAGGGGGGTTTAGTGGTTGCTTATATAAAGTTTTGAAATTTTGAGATTTGGAATACATGCCTTGGGGGAGTGGTTGGGACTAAGGGAGTGTGTGGGGGTGAGTTGATGTTTTTTGGATGTTTAGTGTTGGTGGTTTAGTGAAGTTTTAAATACGGTTAATTAGTTCTGTTTTGGTTAGGTAAATGCCTAGGGCTTTGAAGTTTTCTATTTTATTTTGGGGGTTAAGGATTGCTTCTAAGGTAAGAGCGTTATTTGGATTTAGGTTGGTTTGTAATGTTGTACGTTGTGTGAGGTAGTGGGTGCAATGTAGTAGTACGTGGTCTATTGTTTCTGGGTGAGTGCAGTGTGGGCACTTCCCGTTTGCGTGTTTTTTTAGTTTTAGAAGGTGGTTATTTAGTTTGGTGTGTCCTGTTTGGAGTTTGGTGATTATTCTATCGATTTTTTTGGAGGGATGGAGGATTTTTGGTTTGGTGAGGGGTTTTTTGAGGGTTTTTAGGATTTGGGTTTTTGTGTTTTGATAGAGGTTATGCCATTTTTGGGTGATTTTACGTTTGTTTATACTTTTGATTTCTGCTTTAGATATTGGTAGCTTAAGGCTTATGTCTGGTATTTTTAGGGATTGTTTTGCGGCTCTGTCTGCGTTTTCATTCCCGTAAATTCCTACGTGAGCTGGTATCCAGATAAGTTGTATGTTTTTGCCTGCTTCTGTTAGTTTGTTTACGCTTTTGAGAATTTGGTTTATTAATTTGGGGCGGTTTTTGGTGTTTTTGTTTTGGAGGGCCTGAAGTCCGCTTAGTGAGTCTGAGAGTATTAAGATTTTTTTTTGGTTTTTGGTGTGATGGCTGTGGAGCGCCGTGGCGATACCCATGAGCTCTGCGGTGAATATAGATTGGTTGTTTGGGAGTCGGAAGGATTGAGTATTTTTGACTGGTTGGGCTATATGGACTCCGAAACCTGTGTGATTTGTGATCGGATCAGCGGATCCGTCTGTGTATATGTGACACCAATTTGGCCATTTTTGATGGATGTAAGCTAGTGATGTGCTTTTAGCTAGGTTTGGGTCGGTTTGTTTGTTTATTGTGTTGGCTAGGGATGTGTCTATTTTGGGGATTTTAAGTTTTGGGGTGAATACGTTTGATTGTTTGCAGTTTTGTTGTTGGTTTCCTATTTGGTGTTCGTTATGGTAGTTTATTATTCGTTGGGATATTGGGGTGAGTAGAGGGTGTTTTCTAGTTAGTGCCTGGTTTTGGGGACGTATGTTTTGGTTTAGCATGTTTTGGAGAAGGGGGTTTGATTGAGATGCTGCCCAGAAGTTTAGTGTTAAGTGTTGTCTACGTAAATTTAGTGGCATTTCTCCTGTAAGGGCCTGAAGTGATGTGAGGGAGGTGCCATGTTGAGTACGTGTTACTAGTTTGAGGGCTTGATATTGTATTGAATCTAGTTTTTTGGTTAGGGTTTCGTTTAGGGTATCGTATATGGCACAGCCGTAGTCTAGTTTAGATCTGATTAGGGATGTGTAGAGGCTGAGGAGGGTATCTTTAGAGGCTCCCCAGTTGGAGCCGGTTAGGCATCTTAGTGTGTTTAGATCTTTGCTACATCTGGTGGTTAGGTTTTGGACGTGAGCATCCCAGGAGAGATGCTCGTCGAAGATTAGACCTAGGAATTTAGTTTGCTTTTGAAATATGATTGGTTTATTGTTTAGTTTGAGGAGAGGGGAGGCCCGTCTCATATTTTTGTGTTTGAATACTATTCCTGTCGTTTTTTCGGAGTTTAGGGAGAAGCCCCATTTGTCTGCCCAGTTTTGTATTTTGTTTAGGGATTTTTGTAGTAAGTCCTGAGATGTTAAGATACTTTTGGAGCGGATCCATAGGGCTCCGTCATCCGCAAATTTTGAGGTGTTTATTTTGGGGGATAAGCCATCAAATAGGTCGTTTATCATTATGTTAAAAAGTGTGGGGCTAAGAATGCTGCCTTGAGGGGTGCCGTTTTCCAGGGGACACTGCTCTGACAAGGCCTGGTCTATACCCACTGTAATTTTGCGGTTTTGGAGGAAGCTTTGGATGTAGTTTACGATTTGACCTTTAAGTCCTATTTTTTTAAGTTTTTGGATTAATCCGTTATGCCATACCATATCAAAGGCTTTAGAGAAGTCCAGAAAGATGCCTGTTGTGTATTGTTTGTTTAGTTGACCGGTTTTAATATCCTGTTCGAGACGAGCGAGGTTATCTAGGGTGGAGCGGCCAGGAGTGAAACCGCTTTGATCTGAGTTTATTATGTTATTTTGAGATAGATAGTGTTGAAGTCTATTTTTGGCCATGGATTCCATTACTTTGCAAAGGTTGGAAGTAAGAGAGATTGGTCTATAAGAGTTAGCTTGGTTGGTTGGTTTACCGGGTTTGGGAATAGGTATGATTAGCGCCTCTTTCCAGGGGGTTGGTACATGGCCTTTTATGTAGATTAGGTTATATAGTTTGAGTAGTGTCTGGAGTAATTTAGGGGGGAGTTTTTTTAATATTTGGTAGGAGGTTAGGTCTAGTCCTGGGGCTGTTCCCTTTTTCCTATTTTGGAGTACATAATTGAGTTCTTCTATTGTGTACGGCTGATTTATTTCTAGGGCGTCATTATTTGGGTCTTGGCTAGGTTTGGTTTCTGTTTTAAGTTTTAGTTGGAATTTGTCACTGAAATTGTTATTACTGCTTGTGGCCGAAAAGTGGTTTGCTAGGTTGTCTGCTTTTTCGCTAGGGGTTGTTGAGTTATTTATGTTAGGTGTCTTTTGGTGACGTTTTAGGCCTCTAACGGCGTGGATTTTACGCCAGACCGTTCTGGCGTCTGTACGGTTGTTTAATCCCTCACAGAATTTTTTCCAGTCTCTAGTTTTTGCTATTTTAACTAGGTTTTGTACCTGGTGGTTTAGTTGGTGAGCTACTGGTATGTGGTTATGGTCGCGTTTGGCTTTGTTGAAGGCTGTTTTACGTTTTTGTCTAGTTAGTTCTATTTCCTCGTTCCACCAGGGTACAGAGGGCCTACCCGATTTATTGGGTTTTTTAAAGGGGATTGCGCTTTTGGCTGCGTTTATTATGAAGTCCGTTAGGTTTTGGCAATATATTTCTGGGTCACTATTTTCTAGTTCTACTAGGTTAGCTTGGTTGCATATGTCTTGGAATTTATCCCAGTTAGCCTGGTTGTAGTTAAATTTAGGTTCTGAACTTTCGGATTGATTTGGGACGTTAGTGTTTCCTATGGTTATGTTTATGGGGAAGTGATCACTTCCTAGGGGGGCGTCGTGAACTTCCCATTGGGTACTTTGAGCTAAGTCTGCTGTACATATGGTTAGGTCGATAGCCGACATGTTTTTATTGTTTTTGTCGTATCTGGTAGGTTGGTTGTTATTTAGTAGTACTAAATTATTTGTTTCTATCCATTCTGATATTAGTTTGCCGTGATTATCTAGTTTATCTCCCGTGCCCCAGGAAGGGTGGTGGGCGTTGAAGTCTCCTAGAAAGATGGTAGATTTGTTGCCTATCTTTGTGAGTATGTTTAGATCCTCCGGTTGGATTTTCTGTTGTTGCCAGTGGTAGATGTTTATGATGTTTATTTTTTGGTTTTTAAGGGTGATTTGGATACCATTGGCTTCTAGGTTTGGGGTGTTTATTTTGATTTCCTCGTAGCTTATGTCTTCTCTAATTAGTATTAGTAGGCCACCTGATGCTCTTATTATTTTGGTTTTAGGTCGATCATGTCTGACTATGTTGTAGTTTGGTAGGTGAAATTTGGATTTATTGGAGAATTTAGTTTCCTGGATGCACGCTATGTGTGGTCCTTGTTTTAGTTTAAATCTAGCTTTTAATTCGTGGCTGTGGGAGTTAAGCCCGGCCGCATTCCACTGAAAGATATTTAGGCCTGTCATTATGTGGGCTTTTAGTGTTTGGAGATTACGATTTTGGTTTGGTTTTTGGTTTATAGTCCTGCGATTGCTAGGTTGTAACTATCGTAGAATTCTTGGTAGGTTTGGGTAGTTAGATTTAGTCTATGTGCTACCTGGTGTAGGTTAGTGGCTTTAAGGTCTGGTTTGATTTCTTTAAGCATGTATACTAGTAGGAGTGTGAAGCTATTTAGTTTGGTGGTTAAAGTTTCGGGTTCAGGTTGAGTTTGGGGTTTGCGTTTGCGATTTTTCAGGGTTTTGGGGGCTGAAAATGTTTTATCATTTATGTTTTGATCAGTTGTGGTTTGGGAGTCATCTAGGTTAATTAGATTGGTTTCCTCACTATCCATGGGAGTTGTGTGGGTGTTTGGTTGTGTTGGAGTAGGTGTACTGGGTATTTCAATGGGTTTAGTAATGTTTAGTTTTTCGTGTGTTGCTTGCTCGTGTGTGGTTGTTGTTGCCCTGGTGGCTGTAGATTGTATGGTGTTGGGGTGAGATATGGTAGGTTTAGTGAGTTTTGGTTTAGGTGCGGGTGTGGATGCGGCGACTGGTTTGGGTGTGGCGAATGTTGGCGGGTAGTGTTGGGTTTGGGTGTTTGTGGCTGATGCTTGTGGTGTTGGCATGAGGACGCCGTCGTACGGGCTCTGTAGGTGTGGTTGGTTGTTTGGTTGTGGTGTGGGTAGTAGGGGTGTTCTTGGATGCTGTGTCAGTTTTCGTGTTTGTAGTTTGGCCGAGTCGATGTTTATGTGTCGGTTGGCCTGTTGGGTGAGTGTGTGTTTGTGGGGGCATTTGTTGGATAGTGAGGAGTGGGTGTTTGTTTTGCAGTGAATGCACCAGGGGGCGCATGGCCCTAGACATTGGGGTTGAGCGCAGTTTCTACATTTAGTTTTTTGATATTTACATCCGTTAGCGGTGTGATTGTATTGGAGGCAGTTTGTGCACTGTTTGACTTGTTTGATATAGGGTTTAACTTCTAATTTAGATGACGCTCCGAAGGAGATGTGTTTAGGGGCTTCTGGATACGTTTCTGATTTTTGGAAGTTTATGATGACTATCGGCGTGTTGGTTATTCTACCGTTCCTATTTGATGTAATTCTTTTAGTGCTGGTTATTTTAGGTTGGGGGAAGGAGCCTGTGTTTAGATTTGCTTCGTTACTGTAGAATTCTAGGTCCTCCTCTGACTCTCTAGGGTTTACTCTAATTACTCCTCTAGTGTATAGTTGCCAGTTTGGGGTTTGGTGGGTTACTGTGTATTGAAATATTTCCGTTATTTTTTTGGCTGCGTTAAGTGATTGTTGGTCCGGAAAGATGATCTGAAATCCTTTGTGGGCTTCCCTGATTTTATCGAAGAGTATTTGTTGTTTTTTAAAGAATGATCCTACTTTATTGGCGGAGAGTACCTTACTTAGGATGTTTATGGGGCCAGCCGCGCAGAAGTAGAGGGCGAAGGTGACTATAGATGCGGGGGTGGAAGGTGATGCAGGTGTTGTGTTTGAAGCATTTAGCTTCCGTTTCTTTGGGTTTGTTGTGGTTGCAGGCGAATCCGGAGTTTTGGTGGGAGAAGCGACTGTGGTTTGCTTTCCGAATTCGTGCGGGATGAGGGTTTCAGGTGTCCGATCGGAGGTGTTGTGGGCCTCCGATGGTGTGGGTGTGTCTGTGCAGTGGATGTCTGCCTGGGTGATAATGCGTGTGTCGGTCATGTCTGTGGTAGTGTAGCTGTTGTAGGTTTGTAGGTTTTGGTTTGGGGGAGGAGAGTGAGCTGGGCTTAAGAGGGGGCTTTGTGTGTAGAGTGGGTGACTGGGTGAGTAGTGTTTGGCTGGCTTCTACGCTATTTGGGTTTTGGCTGGTGAGTTAGTTTGTTTAGCTAGGAGATTTTGGAGAGTTGGTGTTTTAAGTGGGCTTGGGGTGAGTTACCTTTGGCCTAAGTTTGAAAGGGTGTGTTTTGGTAGTAACTAGAGTGTTTGAGGGTTTGGTGTTTTAAGTGGGCTTGTGTGTGAGTGGTTTTAACCTAGATTGTATGGGTGTGTTGTGATAATTACCGATGTGTTGCTCTTGGGCTGGCTATCAGTGGAACTGTGCTGGCTTGGGAGGCTTTGCTGGGTGAGGTTGGCTTGGTGGCTGGATGGCTTGGGTTGCTTCGTAGGCTGGAGAGGTGTTGCTAGCTTGGAGTACAAACTGCGACTGAATAGGTAGGATGTGCGGCAGCCTTCTTAGGCTTGGCAGCAGCCTTCTTCTTGGGAGTCTTGACAACAGCGGGGGCAGCAGCAGCATCAGCCATAGTGGTAAGTTTGAGTGGTAAAAATTCACGTCAGCTACGAGAGAAGCACAGAGAGCGAATGACACTTCCCCACAGACAGCCCGGCTGATACTCCGGAGGCGCGGACGTCGGAGGAGACACCCTGCTTGTTGTGGCTGATAGCTGCACGCTTACAAGCGCGTGTGCTTTTTCGTGTATTTGTATCCGAATAATCACTTCTTAATCAAGGAAAGTTTCAATTTCAACAATACAGTTAGGTAGTAAAAACATTTGGCTACATTTCGGTTACAATAGCAACGCTCACGGGTGAAGTTCAAAGCCACACGTGCTGTTTCCAATGAAGCGACCCAGTCTAAAATGTAGACATCGCTACTTTCAAAAGCACATTTTTAGCCTTGAGACTCAAGTTTATGCATTTTAAACGTTGCCTGTCAATTCTCAATATATCTAACTATGAAAGTAAAACACAACACTCATCAGTATTGCCTATGATAAGCTAGAACAAGCTTTCAAACAACGACAATGAAGCACGTTTTTCTGACGACTTCGCCATTTTGCAACAGAAAACATTTGACACTATATTTCTGGAGACATAATTTTGGTCACTTCAATTAGAGTTGAAACTAACTTTGTCATAACAAGTAAGTAACGGGGATTTTACTTTCAGGAAAACAGTCTAGTAAGACGAGGATCTCGGGACACAAGCAGCTAGGGCGCGAAGCCCCGAACAGTAACATATATACATTGGTGTTTAGATCACTCGATCGGTCGTCACAGATTAAGTCTTTTTGCCTGTCTTAATAGCACGATATTAGTAGGGGTCTTCGTCGTTTGGATGTTAATTTAACCAGAACAATATAGGCTACCATCCAACAACGAAAAGTGAATGTTTCAGACGAAAGGCCGGATCGAGTGAGCGAGTGTGCCGGGCCTCGTGTTAAACAGTGATCACATGTTTTTAGAACGGCTAGATTTTAATCCCTGTAAATATACATCATAAATCAACAAACACAACATGTCTACTGAACCCGCTGAAAACGCGAGCATGCTGTTTTCATGGCAATGTCTGTTTACCAATGTGTGGTGGCTATATGTAGCTAAAGTTTGCCGACAAGCATTGTCTACGGCCATACCACGTTGAAAACACCGGTTCTCGTCCGATCACCGAAGTTAAGCAACGTCGGGCCCGGAGAGTACTTGGATGGGTGACCGCCTGGGAACACCGGGTGCAGTAGACATTTTTGCTGTGCGATTCCCACTTTTTTTCCTTTTTCGACCATAAGGTGCACTTGCCTCATTCACATCTGATGTAATCATACACTTTTATTTCCTTGTAAATGGCCCCACTCATGCATGTCTGCTCAAAGACATAGCTGCCAGCCATGTATTCTTACATACCTTTACAGAAAGGAATTTTCCACTATACATGTGATCATATTCAGTTGTCAGTTCACCCAACTCGTCAACTATTCTGAAGGCATGTACGTCCTTTTCGCCACATAAAGGTGTTTGCGTGCACCGATAATTGACTATTTTACTTACTTTCTTACTTTCAAAGCATGAATATATAATATATACATGTAAAATTATAATGTTGTTCGTGTTAAGTCTCGGCTCACATCTCTTTGCCTACACAGATAAGAAAAGGAGAAAGAGTTAGATCGTACAGAGCGCCTGTCAATAGGAGTTCACTGGCTTGCTGCTGGAAAATGTATTTTGAAAGCTGTGAGCAAGCTGATCACTGTTGACACGCTTTAAAAATATGAAAAAAAAACGACGCGACTGTGTGATAAACCAGCTATTTTATGTTCCCCGTTCTAGCTGATCGCTGGCAAACGTACTTTAGACTTATTAGAAAGTATTTCCATACATTTCTCTCGCCATACAACAGGTAGATGTGACATGTTGCAGGTAGGGGGCTAGGCGAAACGCACACGACCAAGGGCGCACAACTCTTGGCGCTCTATTTGAAAAGTCGTGCACAGGCGAGGCGTGTGTCGGTAAAACACCCCGTGGATGTCTGGCCTTTATCGCCGTTTTACACCTTTGAACACAACGTGCATGTGCAGCTACACACATAGGAAGTCTGCACTCAGGATATTATATATATCAACGACACTAATCGCCTCACTTTCCAACATACACCCATTTGGGGGGTTAATAAACAAGCATAACAACAGTCATTAGTGTGAAGACACACTACCCCACCCCCCCATCCCCCCCCACACACACAATAAAATCCCTGACATACCTTTATCAACATCACCTATGTGTGTTATGTGCGTGGTGGGTGTTGCTGCCACGTTATCTCTGTTATCACGAGAACCTGCACTTTATTACTGCTAATATACATATTTATTGTTTTGTTATCAGTGTTTTCAAGTTTTCTTTTGGGGTATTTGGATGGCCCTGAAAAGGGCCTTTGGACCACAGAAATGTGGAGCGAAGGCGTGACAATGAGAGCTTAAGCCTTCTTTGGCTTGACTGCCTTCTTCTTGGGGGTCTTGACCTTCTTGGGTTTGGCTGCTGCCTTCTTGGGTGTCTTCGCCTTCTTGGGCTTGGCTGCAGCCTTCACCTTCTTTGGTGACTTAGCGGCCTTCTTAGCGGCTGTTTTGGGTTTCTTGGCAGCAGCTGGCTTCTTGACTTTCTTGGGGGATTTGGCAGCCTTCTTTGGTTTGGCAGCTGCCTTAGCCTTCTTGGGTTTTTCGTCTTTCTTTGCCTCGCCAAGACGGAATGATCCAGCGGCTCCAGTTCCCTTTGATTGCTTCAGTGCGCCGTTCTTGACTCCATTTTTCAAAGCAGTCTTGATGCGAGCATTGATGGCCACCTGGTTGTCACCAACCTTGTAGTTGGCCAAGATGTATTTCAGAACAGCCTGTCGGGAAGAACCACCCCTCTCCTTCAGGGTTGAAATAGCTTTCTTGATCATCTCCAAATAGGTAGGATGTGCGGCAGCCTTCTTAGGCTTGGCAGCAGCCTTCTTCTTGGGAGTCTTGACAACAGCGGGGGCAGCAGCAGCAGCAGCCATAGTGGTAAGTTTGAGTGGTAAAAATTCACGTCAGCTACGAGAGAAGCACAGAGAGCGAATGACACTTCCCCACAGACAGCCCGGCTGATACTCCGGAGGCGCGGACGTCGGAGGAGACACCCTGCTTGTTGTGGCTGATAGCTGCACGCTTACAAGCGCGTGTGCTTTTTCGTGTATTTGTATCCGAATAATCACTTCTTAATCAAGGAAAGTTTCAATTTCAACAATACAGTTAGGTAGTAAAAACATTTGGCTACATTTCGGTTACAATAGCAACGCTCACGGGTGAAGTTCAAAGCCACACGTGCTGTTTCCAATGAAGCGACCCAGTCTAAAATGTAGACATCGCTACTTTCAAAAGCACATTTTTAGCCTTGAGACTCAAGTTTATGCATTTTAAACGTTGCCTGTCAATTCTCAATATATCTAACTATGAAAGTAAAACACAACACTCATCAGTATTGCCTATGATAAGCTAGAACAAGCTTTCAAACAACGACAATGAAGCACGTTTTTCTGACGACTTCGCCATTTTGCAACAGAAAACATTTGACACTATATTTCTGGAGACATAATTTTGGTCACTTCAATTAGAGTTGAAACTAACTTTGTCATAACAAGTAAGTAACGGGGATTTTACTTTCAGGAAAACAGTCTAGTAAGACGAGGATCTCGGGACACAAGCAGCTAGGGCGCGAAGCCCCGAACAGTGACATATATACATTGGTGTTTAGATCACTCGATCGGTCGTCACAGATTAAGTCTTTTTGCCTGTCTTAATAGCACGATATTAGTAGGGGTCTTCGTCGTTTGGATGTTAATTTAACCAGAACAATATAGGCTACCATCCATCAACGAAAAGTGAATGTTTCAGACGAAAGGCCGGATCGAGTGAGCGAGTGTGCCGGGCCTCGTGTTAAACAGTGATCACATGTTTTTAGAACGGCTAGATTTTAATCCCTGTAAATATACATCATAAATCAACAAACACAACATGTCTACTGAACCCGCTGAAAACGCGAGCATGCTGTTTTCATGGCAATGTCTGTTTACCAATGTGTGGTGGCTATATGTAGCTAAAGTTTGCCGACAAGCATTGTCTACGGCCATACCACGTTGAAAACACCGGTTCTCGTCCGATCACCGAAGTTAAGCAACGTCGGGCCCGGAGAGTACTTGGATGGGTGACCGCCTGGGAACACCGGGTGCAGTAGACATTTTTGCTGTGCGATTCCCACTTTTTTTCCTTTTTCGACCATAAGGTGCACTTGCCTCATTCACATCTGATGTAATCATACACTTTTATTTCCTTGTAAATGGCCCCACTCATGCATGTCTGCTCAAAGACATAGCTGCCAGCCATGTATTCTTACATACCTTTACAGAAAGGAATTTTCCACTATACATGTGATCATATTCAGTTGTCAGTTCACCCAACTCGTCAACTATTCTGAAGGCATGTACGTCCTTTTCGCCACATAAAGGTGTTTGCGTGCACCGATAATTGACTATTTTACTTACTTTCTTACTTTCAAAGCATGAATATATAATATATACATGTAAAATTATAATGTTGTTCGTGTTAAGTCTCGGCTCACATCTCTTTGCCTACACAGATAAGAAAAGGAGAAAGAGTTAGATCGTACAGAGCGCCTGTCAATAGGAGTTCACTGGCTTGCTGCTGGAAAATGTATTTTGAAAGCTGTGAGCAAGCTGATCACTGTTGACACGCTTTAAAAATATGAAAAAAAAACGACGCGACTGTGTGATAAACCAGCTATTTTATGTTCCCCGTTCTAGCTGATCGCTGGCAAACGTACTTTAGACTTATTAGAAAGTATTTCCATACATTTCTCTCGCCATACAACAGGTAGATGTGACATGTTGCAGGTAGGGGGCTAGGCGAAACGCACACGACCAAGGGCGCACAACTCTTGGCGCTCTATTTGAAAAGTCGTGCACAGGCGAGGCGTGTGTCGGTAAAACACCCCGT